TTCTCAATGAACAAGATAATATAGTAGCACAGGTATTAGTGAGATGAGGAGAAAAGCAGTTTATATAGAAAAGCAGTAAATGAGAGTAAAGAGCCAAACCAAGCTTCAAACACAACTGATGTTTGAAACCCTCTATTATATACCAAGTTACTTCAAGCTGAATAGACTTGCAACCAATCTTATGTGTACAAGGAAGGGATCACTTCCTTCTTGCCCCAAAATACACTTGGTCAAGCAAGGAAGTTTTACAAACAGTCGCAAACCCTCTCTTTGCTACACTATTGAAGAAGCTATGTCACACTTGAAAAACAGCTACACGAAGATTGCACATACAAGGAATACAAATGTTTCTTTTGAGTATTCTAGCACTTGAATCACTCACAATCTGATGTAGGCTTGATGTACAAAGTTCCCTGAGGTGGCTGACTTAGTTCCTTTTATAGGAGATCAGAGAATTCTTCAATTAATGCTGTCAACGGGTAGAAGGCAGCTGAAGAGTCAACTAGCCGTTGGTGCTGTCGGACGTCCGATGCTTGGTTTTTATGCGTCCGAATGATATAAATGAGTTCTGGAAGTTTTCTCGAGTCTCTTAGGACGTCCGATCATGCGTCCGAGGATAGGATGAATACTTGGACTTTTCTTCTTCAATTCCTTCGGACGGCCGATGCATCCAAAGTGTTGTGTCCGAAGATCAGCAACATTTGTCGGACGTCCGATACACAGGTTTTGAGCGTCCGAACCAAATTAGTAATAGAGTAACTCCTGGCTTGTCTTCTTCGGACGTCCGAGTCTGAGTTCTCTACTCGTTCGAAGATACTCAAAGAATATCGGACGTCCGATACTTTCCTTTTGTGCGTCCGACATCATCCTCAGCATACTTCATTCCTTTCTGGTCTTCTTTTTCTGCTTTAACTCCACATACCTGTTTGGTTTATTTCTGAAAAGGATCTTTACAAAAAGTATTAGAAACATCCAATTGTTTTGTAATCATCAAAAGATATGAATTGAGATAAACATTTTCAGTGATTGTTGGATTACCTGTATTCGATTGGGTCTTGGCGGATGGTGACGTGGCAATCACTATTCACCCTACGTTTTGACTTTTGTTTTCCGTTTTACGATTGTTGGGTTGGCTAAGCGCGCTAATAGTTTTCCCGAACGACTTGAGCTAGGATTTGACATTTTAGTAGTCCTGGCGAGAGCTGGGCAGGCAGTCCGCTAACTCCTTTGGTACGCCTTAGGGGGAGGTGGGGCTGTCACAGTTTCAGTTCTGGATGTCTTCATAACAGTTGTTGTTCATCCTTTAAGCTTCGATATGGCGTCTCATACGCCTTAATCCGATATTCGTAGCTCAACTTATGAGTAAACTAGAAACGAGTGTCAAATCTGCCATTTCCGCTAACGGCCGTCTCCGTTTCCGTTCGTCATATTTACGTGCGCACGTGCCGTTTTTGCCGTTTTGCTTGTTTTAGGCACGATAGTAGTCGTTTGCGATATTATGTGACACAATCTTCTATTTCAGACGGTGGTGAGCTGGGCGGAATTGGTGGGGCCCACTACTAGCTGTTCATTTCGATCCGACTTCGTACTTTTGCTATTTCAGTTTCTGGGTAAGTATTCAAGCCGATTTTGTGTGTTCGTTGCTTATGTGTTTCGATTTGTATGAAGAGGGTACCTAGGCGAGGGTGTACTTTATCGCACTCGACCTAGACCCTAATTTGCGCACATATCTGTACATGGCATATGTATATGAACCTTTTGGAACCAAAACCCTTGAGCTTGTGGCTCGGGGCGACTTTCGAATAAAGTTTGTGAAGTTTGCAAAGTTTGTGATTTTGAATAATTTTGTGAAGTTTGTGAGTTTGGGGCGAACTCTTGACCTGGTTGGACTATTCGAGCCGGTTAGGGCTTGGTCGAAGGCAGTCCAACTTAGTCTGAGGTCACCAAGTTTGTAGGTTCATTTTATGAACCAATTTTGTGAATCCGGTTCACCGAGAAGGTGACCAAGTTTGTGACCCGAGCTTGTGACTCAAGCTCAAGTTTGTGATTTCGTTCGCCCGGGCAAGTTTGTGAGGTGACTGGCCAGTGAGGGTGATAAGGTGTCGGTGGGTGTACAAGTGAAGTTCTACGGACTATTATTTGTGGTCGACGGAGTGTCGGCAGGAGATCACGCATGGCACATGAGTTGGCTTTGGAGCCACCTGTATCCTTATTATGTGATGTTACTTTTCTGCTTTTGCTTTACTCTTATTGTGTAACTGTTACGTGAAATTTATGCTTTCGCCCCTGTTTACTTACTAAGCATATAGCTTACCCCATTCCTTTTGTTTTCCTTAGCAGGGGCCGACGCGGGGACTTTTGGCTCGTATACTAGTATAGTAAGATTGGCTTGTAATAGTTGAACAGTTAGGATGTTTGTTTTTTGTTTTGGTGGTTTGACTCGATACTTTTGGAGAATGTAATTATAACTCTTTTGGGGTTGTATATAGTACTCTTTTGAATTTTCTGGCTTTGATTGTTTTAAGTTTTGAGTCCTGGCGCGAGCTAAGCAGGCGGCCCGCCGATACCCTTGGGTTCGCCCTTGGGAGAAGTGGGGTCGTCACAATTTACTTTACTTAATCATAAGATTAGTAATCTAGAACAATGAAATAAAGAAATAATTCGTACCTGTGGGCATAGAAATATCTCTTAATTGACTGTGTAATTTACCATCTTATGTCAATTAATCTCATCAAAATAATTACCTCCCTGTGGGGCCGGATAACTATCTCAATGAATTAATTGCAACTTGATATAGATGCCAATTTTTTTTAATTTCTTTAATCACTCAACAATATGTGAAAAAGAAATGCAAAATTTCTCCAAGCACCAATATACTTAAGATGCTGTGGCTACTCCTAAGTATACGGCATTAGAAGAAAAATTGTCAACTAGTCAATATGTTGACTAAAAATTCATAATTTCAATCACCAAACTATATGTGATGAAAAACTTTTCTCATCAAATATTTGAGATGCTGTGGCTATTCCCAAATAGTAATGTAAAAGTGAAATTCTTAACATGGCATTTTGTTATTTATCAATAGTCAAAAAACTTTATATTGACTGAATTTCATTGAATTTTCCTTTCCTTTTATAATCACTCAATCTTGTGTGATTAAAGTTATTTACACCGTATATTTGAGATGCTGTGGCTACTCCCAAATATATGATGTAAGAAAACTTTTAATGAAAATTCATAGAAAATCAGTAGTCAATTTGTTGACCAAAAAATCCTTGATTTTGATCACTAAACCATATGTGATCAAAATTGTCGTACATCAATGTTTGAGATGATATGGCTACTCTCAAACATAAAGTGTACTAGACTTTATAAGGATATCAAAATAGTCAAAAGTCTATATTTTGACAAAAGAATTTCATAATTTCCTTTTTTTTTCTTATATTCATTTTTAACCACCAGCCTTTATGTGATTAAAATACTTCATGTATCAAATAATTGAGATGCAAAACACACTTTATAAAGGAAATTCTCTGAAATTTAAATGTAATCAATCATACTAATGTTGACCTTATAATATGAGATAAATGGACATAAGTGTAGTGCACAAAATACTACATAATTCCAAATAACAATAGAAACATGGAGGCAAACTCATATTGAAATCATACCTTCAGATATTTATATCATAATAAGGTAGCAAAGATTCAATAAACCACTAGATCCATTCATATAAAGTCAACCAATTATCTTGCATAGATTAATATGATATTAATCTTTTGATTGTTGAATATAACAACTCTTTATATGTTTCTCGAATTGTTATATTGTATTGATAATAACAATCAATACATATAACCCTTACAATCACAAATATGTAAGTCCAAGAAACATTCAAATTACTTGCAATCATACCAAATTATTGGAGAAAATCTGGATGAATTGCATAACCAAATAAGGTATCATATGAATGATACATATACATAGGATTAGTCAATAAATTTCAATTATTGAGAAAATAGACCATAGGTCCCATGGCAAATTAAATTCGATTCGTTTAAACTTGATACGAATCTCTAAAACTTTTATCAGATTGCCAATAAACCATGAAATTATAAGCTAAACAACATGGTTAGAGGTTGACTCTAATACCACATGTTACACTAACTATGTACATGTGAATGTACTACGCAGCGGAAATTTAAATATACTTACCTCTAACCATTGTTGTCGAGCACAAGTTGATCTCTTCTTGTATCTTTGATTTCTTCTTGTCTATTCTATCAATATAAAATATGTAGAAGAAGGAAAAGTAGAAAGAGAATTTAGAGTAAGGATCTTCTAACCTATGCCTAACCCAAAAGTGTACAATTAATGGAATACCACAGGCTATTTATAGGATAGGCTAGGGACCCTTACTGGCAAATACAAAAATCCCTAGGGTTTCCTTCCATCAAGGAAATCTTGCCAAAATTCATAACTGAAATTAATATTTTCTGACCAATTGATTGATTAACTGATTGAATAAGATATCAATCAATCACTAACAAATGAAATATACTAATTAATTATTGACAAAATGTCAATCAATTAATCAGGATACCAATCACCAATCATTGCCTAATGGGAGATACCAATTAATTGTCAATCAATTAATTAGAATATCAATCAATCATGTGAGTCATAATTTGCCTCTAAAGGAGGTAAGTCTTACACAGTGATCCCATCAAATTAATTCTGGCCCAAGAATTTAAGACTGACTCCAGAATCAAGACCATGTAATAATACATTTGGTACAAAAACAATCTTTTGTTTTGTAGTCTTAATTAAAAGATCTTGTCTTACTGTTTGAGAATGTGGTGAACTAATCATGGTCTAGTTATATATCATGTCTTGTCATTGCTGCATCAAATGGATTGATGTCAATATGAATTCTCAGCAGCAATGGCAGGCGAATGATTTCAGGACAAGGAGTATTGCATTTGCTTCCGTACTGACTAATGACCTTTTATAGGTTTCATCGTAAGGATGTATTGGACTTGCAGTGGTCCACTGATGGTACATTTCTTATTCCTGGATCTGTTGACAGCACTTGTATCATATGGGATGTGAATAAAGGTAGGGCAGCGAATGTGAGCTGTTATATTATTTGTGCATCAGTTGATAGCTCTTGCGCATATAGTTAGTGAAGAAGCAGAAGAAAATCTGAAGCTGTTAGATGTTCAGACATTGTTCTCAGTAAACCTATTGGTTGATGTTAACCTTTCAGGTTCTGTGCATCAAATTTTAGATGGCCATTCTCATTATGTCCAAGGTGTTGCATGGGATCCATTAGCTAAGTTTTTAGCTTCGCTCAGCTCAGATAGAACCTGCAGGATTTATGTCAACAAGCCATCTAAAACAAAAGGAAATGATAGGATGAACTACATTTGTCAGTATGTCATATCAAGGTTGGAACCACAGACTACAGATGAATCCAAGGTTAGAAATTTCTTCTGCTGGCACATGCCAGAACTAAATCTCTTTTTTTCTTTTCCTTTTTTTAAGAGTCTTATATGTGGTATCAAAATGCAGACAGCTAAAAATCACCTCTTCCATGATGAGACACTGCCATCTTTTTTCCGAAGATTAGCTTGGTCTCCTGATGGATCATTCTTACTTGTGCCTGCAGGTATTGCTTTAATAAGTTGTTATTTTGACATTTCTCTAATAAGTTGCTTTAATAAGTTCTTTTTGTCTCTTGGCATTATCTATCCTCTCCTCTGCACTGCACCTCACCTCTCAGAATTTTTGACATTCTCCTTTATTATTTATTGTTCATTCCCAAACATCAAGGAGAAAGGAGGAATGCCGTACCTTCATTACTTAGTTATATTCAGGAAATATTAGATGGTTTCCTGCATACATGGGGTGCTAGTGAATATTGGACTAAACGTACTTTTATGTTGCTAAATAAACATCTATGCAATCTTTGATCCTTATCTGGAGATATTTTTCATGTGCTTTATGTTAGCAGTGCCGTTGGTGTGGTTGCCATGGAATGAACCATCTTACTCCTGTTCCTATATTTTCTTGTCATTTTTCACTGGAGATTAAGAGGCCAGTTAATGTTTTATGCATTAGAATGCTACTAATGATTTATGTGCTCTATCAGGTTCTTTCAAACATACACCATCTTCTGAATTAGTAAATGCTGCATATATCCTTTCTAGAAATGATCTTGCTAGGTAAGTCTACTCTTCATTTTTATTTTAATCACAAGTATCTTATCAGCTTGTTTCTAGATACGATAGATTAGCATTTTTTCCCCTGTACTCTTGTCCTTCAGATTACATGTGAAATTGCATACTTATTTTGTGAGAACCCCAAACCTTGCATATTTTCTAAGCATTTTGGTTATTTCTCGTTTTCCATTTAAGTGAAGATTTGTTCACTAACCGTTTCAAACGGGAAGGCCTTGTTGTTATGTGCAAATCATGTATGAGATATATATGTAAGTGTATGTGTTAGAAATACGTTTGAGCGCGACAATCGAATTCGGAAAAAAAAAAAAAGAAAAAATTTTGGAAAAGTGAAGTGGCCAAATCCGGCCGGAAATCCGGCCAGTTTCTGGCCGGATTGCCCTACATTTTTGAAAAAAAAAATGTTTCGTCTCGGCCTCATATCCGGCCAGGAATCCGGCCGGGAATCCGGCCAGAAACTGGCCGGATTCTGACGTGGCACAGCCGGTCAGAAGCTTTGACCGGCTGTTTCTTCATAAATATCTGATTTTTGGCTACTGTTTGTACTCACTTTTTTCTCCCTTGGCCGGCTGAGTTTGGAAGAGCAAACAAGAGAAAAATTTCCATTTTCTTCCATTTGATTTCCTTCTTTGAATCTTGAGTTTTAACCATTAGTTTTTCAATTCACTCCATACAAGTGTGTGGTATAGAGGTTTAAAGCTTGTGGTGGAGGTGTTTTTGTTGGGGAGGTCTTAAGTTGCTATCTCTTGCAATTTTGAGGTAAGTTGCTAAGAAAGTTGTTATTTTGGTTTACTAATGATATATTAGTGCTTTGTAGTGTTTATATAGGCTATATTGTGGAGTATTTCATGGGTTTAAGGAATTTATGATGAATTGCTGATTTATTGAGCATTTTTCTGATTTTATATGATAGTCTTGGTTTGGACTTGGATTAGTGGTTTAAATGGTGTTAATGGAAGCTTGTGTATGTTAATTACGGTTGGTTGCGGAAATTTTCGCTTTTGGTATGAATTTCCGGTTTCTAGGGTTAGTTTGGGGGTTTTCTTATAGTTGTTTCTGGAGCTTATAATTAGCTTTAATTAAGGGATTTTATGGCTTAATTGAGTGCGTTTTATTGCTTGTTAAAGGTATATGTGATGATGGTTAATTGCAAGAATTTCTTTTGCTTGGAAGGAAATCTGGAAAAACTTAGAGTTTCATTACCCTCAATTCTGCCCGGCCCTATTCACCACAGTTAGAGGCCGAATTAGCTTTGGATTAAAACATAAAAGTTGTAGGTAATAACATTTTAGAGATGCCTACAAAATTTCGGGTCAATCGGAGTAGTGTAGAGTGAGAAAGTCGAAAATACCCCTGCTGCCCTGGTTTCATCCGAACTTGGGACTTGCTTCTGTAATTAGCTAATTTGGCTAGGAATACTTCTGAACTGGTTGTTGAGGTCTTCTGAAGAAATGTAGCCTGATGTCCTAGCTGTCTTTTGGCTTTGGAATCAATGGATTTGGACCTAGGTAGACTGAATTGTAGCTCGTTAACCAGAACGTGGTTTGTCCACCTGTATTTTGCAGTTCTGAACTAGTGTCTTGTATTTTTGACCTAGTTGCACTACAAACTGGACTGAGTGACCTTCTACATTGTTGTAGCCCTATCTCTTAGCTTCGAAACGGTGTATTTTGCACCTCTATCCGATAATCGTAGTGCCTTTAGTACCATTTCCGTAAAATGTTGTCAAGTATTGTTTTATCTAAAAATGTTTCTAGCCTGCTTTTGTATTTATTGTGGTATTTATATGATTGTAAGCCTAGTGAACGGCTTTTGGACATGAGATTATATTATATGACATGTTGGGACTGATTTGAGGAAAATAATGAAGTCATTAATGGCTGGAAAAATAGGTAAACACAAGGGACATGCCGTCCGTTTATTTTCTTGTAAATTGAAAAAGTTAAAGTGGTTTTTTTTTTGGAAATGTATTTTGTATCAAATTGAACGTATTGCCTTGGAAGTGTCTTCGGGTTTTTGAATAAGGGTTCGAAGACTACATTTCTATTCGAACTCGTATATTGTCTTTTGGCAAATAATGTGACCGTTTTATCTTTTGAAAACATGATACCTCTTTCGTTTCAAACTTCAAATGGTCCTTAAGCCTTTCCAACCGATAGAGGTATGAGTTCGGGTTTTAACGGCCACAAGTGAATTGCTTTTAAACAAGGTTTTAAGTGTGGAGGTTAAAGTATTGTATCCTCCTTTTTACATGATTTTTATCAAGGCATTGGTTATTTTATTGGCCACTTGAATAAATATGTTTTCGAGTCACATAAGCAATTCCGAAAAGAATGTTTTCTTAGCCCCTCTTCTGGAACTTTGAATTGTTTTGAGTCAGGTGTTTCCTTTTAGAGACTTTATAACCCTCTTGGTTTGGGTTGCATTAGGATTATTCTTGTTTACGGATCCAAATGCCTCTTTACACTTTGAAAGTCTTTTATACGTTTACTCGCGAGTAGTCGGGTTTTGGTTGATTTCCTCTAAATCATGTTAGATGGATTGTAATGTGATCTTTGTGGAATTTTAGGTTTCATTGGTGATTGAGAAGTGGGCGTTGTTTTGCGTGTCTAGGTGAGTGTTCCTTATTTGTTATATTGCCTGATTATATGGCTTGTTTGAATGATGGATAACATGTTAAACGCTTTCAATGATTGCTAAAACGATTTTAGAGGCGAGTGTGTACTTTACCGCACTTAGCCTAAATGATTGTGAAATTTTAATGATTGAGCGATTGAAATGTTAATTGTGCATGAATGTAGGCCTTCGGGCTGAACTGGCCATTGCCCCTTGTTACCGGTCGTCTCGAGCCAGTCGGACTCGGTCGAGCGATTAGGAACTTGGGTGAACGATCCGGTATACTCGAGTATTACCCTGTAGGTTGGTGGAGCCTGGCCAAAAGCCAGGGACGGGGTGAATGAAATGAATGAATGAATGAACGAGGGGTTTTACTTATACAAAAATGCATTTTCAAATGATTGAAGGAAGGAGAATGGAAGGAGAATGAATGAATGAATGAATGAACGATTGGCTCCTTGTGAGCCCGTATCCTTTTAATGAATGTGTTTAACGCTTTATTGTACTTGTATCGTGAATTGTTGTTTACATGTATTTGTTTCTCTTGTTGCCTATGTGTACGGAACCTCACTGAGCTTTCCAGCTCATCCCTTTAGTTTTTGTTTTCCTTAGCAGGGGAGGACGTGCGAGGACGGAAGCTACGAATAGATTAGCCGTTTTAGTACTTTGGTTTCTTTTGTAAAGGTTCTCGCCCTAGTGCTTGGCACGGGCTGGTTGTATGGTGAATTGAGAACCTATATTTTGACAGTTGTACTTCCATTGAGACCGTAATGTATATAAATTTACGTTTAAGTTTGGAATTATTGTTATTTCGATTGTTTTGTGGATTTTCTTGCCTTCTCTTATAGCAACTGACTGAGTCCCGGCGAGAGTTGGGCAGACGGTCCGCCGATACCCTGGGGTACGCCCTAGGGAGAAGTGGGGCCGTTACATATTTGGACATTAATCATGGTCATTGATACGTTTTTCATTTAACAGGGCTGTACCTTTTGTTTAACTAAACCTTTTTTTTTTTTGTCAACGTTTAGACCTGCTTTGACGCTTCCTGGTGCCAGCAAACCTGTTGTGGCAGTGCGGTTCTGCCCTGTGAGATTTAGCTTGCGAGGATTAAAGTCATGTAAATTTTTGTTAAAATCATATTCTAGATCCTTTTCAGTGTACCGTATGGCTTCTATATTTGATGAGAAATCCACTTGGTAATTGTACAGCTGACTTCTTTAGGCTCCCTTATCGCCTTATCTTTGCGCTGGCCACTTTGAACTCTTTATATATCTATGATACGGAGGGTATTGAACCAATAGCAATCCTGGCTGGACTTCATTATGCAGCTATAACTGACATTGCCTGGTACTTTTAGTTGTTCTATTTAGGTTTAGTGCTGCTCTTATCAGCAGCTATGCTGATAGAAGTAAATCCTGAACTTTGGTTGCTTACTGTTTATACTTTTTTGATGTGAACATGTCACGCCCCGAGCCCGCACGTGCCCGTCACACGACATCCGCCGTACTCCCAAGTCCCACTCAGGAATACAAGGCTACATTAACTAATTAAACTTGGCAATACTAAATAATTCAACCAAATAAAGTGCGGCTCGAATTACATATAAAAGGATGTCTACGAATATTCAAGGCGTTCGTACATTTATTCTCCAATTGAAACAACGGAAACAAAAGTAAATAAGATAACACTAGAATTAGCTAGCCTGCCAACTTCTATGCACCTAAACTAATAAAAGTCATCCTCAGGGTCTTCTATGTAGACCAATTCATACTCTTCCGAATCTGCAAAAATGGTAAGAAGTGGGTTGAGCGACACATCGCTCAGTAGGTAATATTTACCCCTCTGTTGGACCATGCACTCTTAATTTTATAGGTACATAAATATATAAGTACAACTCAAATCAAGTGCCTATCATTCCCATCCATAATTTTGGAAGTAACGTTATTTATAAAGCAATCAATAGTAATGAAAGCCAAGCAATTTAAAAGCATTTATCGATAGTTGTACATAAGAAATCGTAAAGTCATACTCATTTCGTCTCAAGTCACAAATCTCTTCATATTCACTCATAAATCAATTCATCCAGATCAGCTCATGACAAGTACATGTAATGACCGGCTACTGAGTACTCAGCCTAGAGATTTTACCCCTTCTAGGTGGGCGACCAATAAGTTCCATGACTACCGATTGGTCTCATTTCATTCTTGGGTCACTCGGCTGGGCTTTATACCAGGCTACCATGACTCTCTCAATTGGTCAATCGGCTGGGCTTTATACCAGGCTACCATGACTTTATTCATTGGTCAATCGGCTGGGCTCTATACCAGGCTACCATGACTTTATTCATTGGTCAATCGGCTGGGCTCTATACCAGGCTACCATGACCTCACCAATCGGCTGGGCTTAATACCAGGCTACCATGGCGATTAAACAGGACTATAGCCCCTACCGTCTATTTCATGACTGCTCTGAGCTTACTTGTCGAAATTCATTTCATATATCGTATACGTAAATCTTTGCTTTCATAAAAGATTCAACTCATTTTGTATATAAGAAACGTATTAAAACATTTCAAATAAGTCACATGGTCCAGTTTTGTATAGTAAAACATAAATATGTAAGCAAAGCATTTAATCAAACCCCTTTCGAGTCAACACAACAAAATAGGATTTAAACAAGAATTCCACTTTACACATTTGAAATCTCAGAAGGGTAAGTACCACCTACCTCTGTTTGGCTGCTCGAGTAGAACTACCTTAGGTCCTTGTATTGCACCTATCAAACGCATAGGTTCCCTAATTAGCTGCTATTTCCTATAAATGCACAAATATACAACTTCTAAAAAGCATAAGATTCATACTTAGACCATTAAATGGACCCTAATAGCATCTCCCTCAAGTTGGGCGATTTCTATTTTTGGAAAGTTCCCTAATTTGGGAAGTTTCTAATTGTAGAAAGTTTCTTAATTTGGAAAGTTTCTATTTTTAGAAGTTTCTTAATTTGGAAAGTTCTGCTTTTGTAAAGTTTCCTAATTTTAAAATAAAACAATTATTTATAATCATGCTTATTATTTTGACTGTTATCTTACTATACATATTTATAATTAATGATTATTTATTATTATATTATTATCGTCCTTGTCGCCGCTACTTTATTTTATTACCACTTATATATATATTTATCAGTTATTATTACCTTTTACTTTATTCCTAACTTTTGTGCACGTGTAGGTGTTATTATTATTTATATATGTGCATATATATTTATAAATATATCGATTTATTATTATAATTATTGTCTTAATTTATTACACTTGTATTTACATATTTATATTTTCGTTTACATCCTTTATTTGTTCCATCCATATTATTATTACTATTATTATTATTGTTATTTTAAGCGCTTTGTTCAACAATCTAGAGCTCCTCTTACATTGTATAACTTAATCTAATAAGGCCAGGTTAAAATGTTTTAGATTTCCATTTAAGTACTTTAGACTTAATTACTAAAGTAATAGCTTACATAACTAACCCCCAACTCTAGTAATTATATTAAATTGGGTCCTCGATTTTAATATTCCCAATACACTATAAAAATGGACTAATTATATTTAAAATCTGTTTACTGAGTTTTATATTGTAGTTTGGTCCAAGTTTAAATTGCTCCCTTTCTACTTACTTACTTTTATTTTTATTATTATTATTGTTACTATTATTTTATTTTAATTCTTGGTGGGGCCCATGGTTGGCCCTTTGGCCAACCATGTTTGACCATGGTCGCCAGAGAGCCTGGCGACCCAAGTTCTTCAATTGGTTGGCCCTTGGCCTTACCTGCATCCATTGTCGCCAGCAAGTGCTGGCGACATTGTCTAATATTTTTTTTTTTTTTTATTCTTAGCCTTGGGTTGGCCGAAAGGCCAACCCTTGTAATTCCTTTTCCCTGCGGCAGTGCTTGCCCAAAACAGAGCAGCCGCCGCTGCTCCTCTTCCTTTTTTTTTTTCGTTTTCTTTTCCTCAACAAATTTGGGTCATCTACTCACCAACGACCAAGATCTAACACCCTATTTCCACTAATCCAATATGAATCCTTCTAAATTCCGTATAAGAACATATATATCTACATATGTGTAACAACATCACAAATCCATAAATCTCCTAAAATAATCAATACATCTACTAAAACTTAAAAAGAGAAGATTACTTGTGTGAAGTCGGGACTTACAAGTTTAGGTGCCTAGTTGTCGGATCGATTGATGGTGACGCCTTCTTCTCCTTCTCTCCTCTCTGACGGCTCTTGCTCTAGGGCAGACGAAAGAAAGTAAGGCTAGGGTTATTTTTTTTTCTGTCTAGGATCTTAGTAAAATTCTAACCCTAGCAATACTTACTAATAGGTGGCTTGGGCCAGAGTTTTACTTTATTAGAGCCCATTAGCCCATCCTACAGTTACTCCATTTTCTTTTTCCTTTACCCAGCAAATTTTATCTTTTTAATTAATTGAGAAAATAAAATAGAATAATAACATCGGTGCCAAAAATCGTGGGTTTTACATTCTACCCCCCTTACAAAAAGTTTCGTCCCCGAAACTTACGTACCTTGATCGAATAGATATGGATACTTATTCCGCATGTCCTCTTCTAACTCCCATGTTGCCTCTCGTGGTGTATGGTTCGTCCATTGCACCTTGACGTAGGGTATGGTCCTTCTCCTTAGGACTTGATCCTTTCGGTCAACGATCCTTAGAGGAACTTCCTCCACTGATAAGTTCCCTTTCACCTCGACGGGTTGGTCCTCCACAATATGACTCGGGTCTGACACATACTTCCTTAATTGGGAGACATGGAACACGTTATGTATCCTTGACAAAGCAGGTGGGAGAGCTAGTCGGTACGCTAGCGGTCCTACTCTATCCAGTATTTCATAAGGTCCCACATACCTCGGACTTAACTTACCACTTCGTCCAAATCTCATTACTCCCTTGGTAGGGGACACTTTCAAGTACACTTTTTCTCCCGGTCGGAACTCTAAAGGTCTCCTTTTTGAATCTGCCCAACTTTTATTTCGGTCTTGAGCTACTTTCAACCTTTCCCGAATGATCTTAATTTTCTCCAGAGTTCGCTCCACCAAGTCAGGACCAGTGATCTGTTTCTCGCCTACTTCATCCCAATATAAGGGGGATCTACACTTCCGTCCATACAATGCCTCAAATGGTGCCATGCCTATACTACTATGATAGCTATTATTGTACGAGAACTCCATTAGCTTTACCAACCTGTCCCAACTATCCGAGAAGTCTAGGGCACAGGCTCTGAGCATGTCTTCTAGAGTCTGTATGGTTCTCTCCGACTGTCCATCCGTTTGAGGGTGGAAGGCTGTACTTAACCTTAAATCAGTCCCCATAACTTCTTGGTAAGTTGACCAAAATCTGGACGTGAACCTAGGGTCTCGATCAGACACTATACTCACTGGGACCCCATGAAGGCATACGATTTCTTCCATATACATCTCTACCAACCTCTCCATTGATATCCCATTCGACAGTGGTAGAAAATGGGCCGACTTCGTTAATCGATCGACTATAACCCAAATGGCATCATTATTTCTAATGGTGCGGGGCAACCCCACTACAAAATCCATCGTCACATGTTCCCACTTCCATTGGGGAATCTCTAGGGGTTGCAACAAGCCGGCAGGTCTTTGATGCTCGGCCTTCACTTGTTGGCACACCAGACATTTCACCACATAATCGGCTATATCTCGTTTCATCCCATTCCACCAATAATTGCCCTTCAGATCTCGATACATTTTGGTTCCACCAGGGTGGATCGAGAACCTCGAATTATGTGCCTCTTTTAGCAATTCCTGTTTTAATCCCTCATCCCTTGGCACACACAACCTACCATCCTTCCACAAACTCCCATCGTCTCTCAATTTAAACCCATCAAAGGGCTCCAATTCCAGTTTTTCCTTGATTTTTGCGAGCCCGGCATCCGAGTGCTGCGCCTCCTTAATCCTATCTATCAAGATAGGTGCGACTACCAGGGCAGCTAGCACTTGGGCTGTGGAGTCTACCATCTCCACCTCAAAATTTTTCATCTGATCCTCTGCCGTGGGCTCTCTTAACCCTCTCGATTTCCTACTAAGGGCGTCTGCTACCTTATTTGCCTTGCCCGGATGGTAGTTGATTGTCAAATCGTAGTCCTTAATTAATTCTAACCACCTCCTCTGCCTCATGTTCAATTCCCTTTGAGTGAACAAATACTTGAGGCTCTTGTGATCGGTAAACACCTCACATTGTACACCATACAAGTAATGCCTCCATATTTTTAGTGCGAACACTACTGCCGCTAACTCCAAATCATGTGTTGGATAATTCTGCTCATAAGTTTTCAATTGGCGGGAAGCATACGCAATCACTCTACCATTTTGCATCAATACGCATCCTAAACCATTTTTAGAAGCATCACTGTATATCACAAATCCCTCCGGTCCAGATGGCAGGGTGAGTACTGGGGCTGACACTAGTTTCTCCTTTAACTTCTGAAAACTTGATTCACACTTATCTGTCCATTCGAACTTCGCTCTCTTCTGAGTTAACCTAGTGAGAGGCGTAGCAATGGTGGAGAATCCTTCCACAAATTTCTGATAATATCCAGCCAATCCTAAGAAACTCCTCACCTCGGTTACAGTAGTGGGTCGTGGCCAGTCCACAATCGCCTCTACCTTCTTTGGATCGACCGATACCCCTTGACCTGATATCACATGACCTAAAAACGCCACACTTTTCAACCAAAACTCACATTTACTGAATTTAGCATACAGTTTCTCTCTCCTGAGTATCTCTAGGACTTCTCTAAGGTGGGCAGCATGAGTTTCCTCATTTGGAGAGTACACCAAAATGTCATCAATAAATACTACCACAAAACGGTCCAACTGTGGTTTAAATACCCGATTCATCATATCCATAAAGGCCGCCGGAGCGTTAGTTAATCCAAAGGGCATGACCAAAAACTCATAGTGCCCGTACCTTGTACGAAATGCACTTTTTTGGATGTCTTCAGCCTTAATCTTCAATTGATGGTATCCCGACCTCAGATCTATCTTAGAGAATATCTTAGCTCCCTTCAACTGGTCAAAAAGATCATCTATTCTTGGAAGGGGGTATCTGTTCTTTATTGTGACTCGATTCAATTCCCTATAATCGATACACAGTCTTAGACTACCGTCCTTTTTCCTTACAAAGAGTACCGGCGCACCCCACGGAGAAACACTAGGTCTAATGAATTTCTTGTCCAACAATTCTTGTAGTTGTTCCTTGAGTTCCTTTAATTCCGCCGGTGCCATCCTATAAGGGGCCTTGGATATGGGATTCGCCTCAGGCACAACGTTTATTTCAAATTCTATTTCCCTATCCGGAGGTAGACCAGGAAGGTCTTCCGGGAACACGTCAGGGAAGTCTTTCACCACTGGAATTTTTCCTAAAGACATCTCCTCCATCTTCATATCCACGACATAAGCCAAGTAGGCCTCACAACCTTTTCTTATTGCCCTATATGCCTGCATGGCCGACAGGAGAGGTAATCGACGAACCCTCTTATTATCAACATTTCCTTTGTATGAAAAATCCTCCTCATCTGGTTTCATAAATAATACCCTCTTCTTCCTACAATCAATTTGTGCAAAGTGTCTAGCTAACCAATCCATTCCCAGGATAACGTCAAAGTCACTCATGTTTATTTGGATTAGATCCACTTCTAATTTCTTGTCCTCCAATTCTACACTACAGTTCGGATACCTAGTATGAGACACTAAGATTTTATCTCCTGGAGCAGCTACTCGGTAGGGGTGGTCCATCTATTCAGGGGGCATGCGCAAGTATTTTGCAAATTTCTTAGCGACAAAAGAATGACTAGCTCCACAATCAAATAGCACGTATGCAGGTACAGAATTAATTAGAAGAGTACCTGTGACCACATCGCCTGACACTCCCGCCTCAACGTCGGTCATTGCATGCACCCTCGCGTTAATCTTTGGCTTCTTATCCGGGGGATTGTTACCCTTATCTCCTCCTACCTTCTTACTTGGACAATCCACAGCTCTATGGCCCTGCTGTCCACATTCAAAACAAGCTCCAGTCCTCATCCGGCATTCCCCTCGATGTATCTTCCCACACGTCTTACACGGAGGTAAAGTCGTTTTAAATCGGCATTCTCCCCGGTGCATCTTCCCGCAAGTTTTGCATGCAGGAAAGGTATTTCCCCCAGTTGCCTTTGGTGGTGGCCTATGACTTTTCCTAATCAAGCGGAATCGTCCGCCGGGCTTCAGTGCTCCCGACACCGTAAGTTCATTTTCTGTTCTAGGCCTTTTATTCCTACCCTCTTCGTCCAATCTTTTGCAATCAGCCTCCGCCTTAACACTGGCGTCCAGTACATCATTAAACGTAGGGGTATAAGTGGTGTTCACCCTAGTTTGAATCCTACTCAACAACCCCCGTATAAACTTATACTTCTTCAATTCCACATCCGCCATGGTCGACGGCACGAACCTTCCCAGTGCCGTGAACTTATTCGAATATTGCACCACAGACATTCCCGGTGCCTGTTTCAGATTTTCAAACTGATCTATTTTCTGCATCCTCACGGCAGGTGGGAAAAAGTATTTCAGGAACTCCTCTCTAAATTTTGTCCAACTTACTGGTGGGACGATGGTAGGTTCCAGAGTTGCCCACCACTTATTGGCCTCCCCTACCAAAAAGGGTTTGACAATTAGGTGTTTCATCTCTTCCGGCACTTGCAACAGTGCGAAATTATTTTCTATTTCATCTAACCATTTTTCTGCCAAGTCTGGATCAGGGGTTCCATCAAAGGTGGGGACATGGACCCTTTTCATCTTCTCATAGTAGGATTGGGTTCCCCCTTGTCCATGACCCTGGGTTTGGACAGTCTGGACTTGCGCTAGCTGTGATTGGGCTTGTAGTGCTTGGGCTACTCCAGTTTGGGCAGTCACTAATTCTATCGGTAGCATCATGTAGGGTTGCTGCCCGCTTGAACCGGCCCCCTGATAACCAGTATCCTGAACATTATTTTGTTGATACGGTTCTTGGTTGTAACTACCCTGGACGTTCTCGCCATTAGGGCTGCCATAGCGATTCCCGCCGCGCCTAGTTCTTGGTGCCATTTCCTAAATCACACAAATGAGCCCCATACCAAGTGAGTCTTTTACCCCTATATATCATTATGCATACATGTATACACATACATAGATACCCAAGAAAACACTTTTAACGCTGTTAAGACAGTCCGTCTAGGGTTACCTACTCGCATACTTTACGCGTACTACCCTTAAATCAATAGGGCGGAAGATCACATGAACAAGTTATGATGCCAATTAATTTCATAATAACACATAAAAAAAATGTATATATATTTAAATAGGAGGTTTCATTCGCTACTCCGAACGAGAAGAACAATCGACCCCCTTAAACAGCGGTCAAATAATCCAACTATTTCCAAAAGAAAATGTCCTACAACCTAGCGTCCAAACTATCTAGTTATAGCCTACGACCGGCTAGAGGACTAATCTACGCGAACAATCGCTAATCAACCTACCAACGCTTTGGACTAATATTTCATAACACTACTAAAATGAGTGGTTCGCCAAATGAAACCCCTCTCAGACCAACTCCACTACTCATCAACTGGTGGGTCCGCATCCACAATAGCTCCATCTCCCACGCCCTCTCCAGCACCGTCCTGGTCCTCAACTCCATCTTCCCCCTCTTGATTTTCCAGGGGCATGTCCTCAGGGTCCTCCTCGGGGTCATCCTCTATCTCTGCATCACTATCAGGCCACAGGTGATCCCACCCAGGCATCTGCGGTGCAAGGGGCTGGTGGTCAGCTATCCAGTTCATCACGCGTTGCCTTTTCTCTCCATATTTCACCGCTAGGGTTTCGTACGCCTCCTGTCTATGCTGGAGTAGGGAAGCTACTTCTTCAAACCCTTCATTATACATATCAGCTAGTCCCTTCTGTACTTCCATATCTGCTTTCAGCTTAATGACCTCTTCCCGCAGACGGAGGGCCTCTCCCCGCCAGCCTTCCATGTCCTGTCTCATGTGCTCCCTCGACACTATCAGCGACGAGATCTCTTGCCTTTGATCAGCTATTCGGTCACTCAACGCATAAGCCTTCCTAGCTCCGTCCGTGGCTCTCTCTAACTCTTCTAGGAAACTGTCCCTGTAAAATCTCTGTCTCTTCTTAAGACGAGCCACGTCACATCCTGTCAAATGGACTGGGCAATCGCAATGCTCCTGCTCCCCGTGCACTGGTTCGGCCATCTCCTATAATACCAAATGGAATACCATCAGTGCTGCTTCCCCCCTCTTACAGTACACGGATTTTCTCAAACCTACTTCACTACTTACATTACTTAATTTTTGAATTATTTGATCTTATGGTCTTATCTCGAACCTAGGCTTTGATACCACTAAAAATGTCACGCCCCGAGCCCGCACGTGCCCGTCACACGACATCCGCCGTACTCCCAAGTCCCACTCAGGAATACAAGGCTACATTAACTAATTAAACTTGGCAATACTAAATAATTCAACCAAATAAAGTGCGGCTCGAATTACATATAAAAGGATGTCTACGAATATTCAAGGCGTTCGTACATTTATTCTCCAATTGAAACAACGGAAACAAAAGTAAATAAGATAACACTAGAATTAGCTAGCCTGCCAACTTCTATGCACCTAAACTAATAAAAGTCATCCTCAGGGTCTTCTATGTAGACCAATTCATACTCTTCCGAATCTGCAAAAATGGTAAGAAGTGGGTTGAGCGACACATCGCTCAGTAGGTAATATTTACCCCTCTGTTGGACCATGCACTCTTAATTTTATAGGTACATAAATATATAAGTACAACTCAAATCAAGTGCCTATCATTCCCATCCATAATTTTGGAAGTAACGTTATTTATAAAGCAATCAATAGTAATGAAAGCCAAGCAATTTAAAAGCATTTATCGATAGTTGTACATAAGAAATCGTAAAGTCATACTCATTTCGTCTCAAGTCACAAATCTCTTCATATTCACTCATAAATCAATTCATCCAGATCAGCTCATGACAAGTACATGTAATGACCGGCTACTGAGTACTCAGCCTAGAGATTTTACCCCTTCTAGGTGGGCGACCAATAAGTTCCATGACTACCGATTGGTCTCATTTCATTCTTGGGTCACTCGGCTGGGCTTTATACCAGGCTACCATGACTCTCTCAATTGGTCAATCGGCTGGGCTTTATACCAGGCTACCATGACTTTATTCATTGGTCAATCGGCTGGGCTCTATACCAGGCTACCATGACTTTATTCATTGGTCAATCGGCTGGGCTCTATACCAGGCTACCATGACCTCACCAATCGGCTGGGCTTAATACCAGGCTACCATGGCGATTAAACAGGACTATAGCCCCTACCGTCTATTTCATGACTGCTCTGAGCTTACTTGTCGAAATTCATTTCATATATCGTATACGTAAATCTTTGCTTTCATAAAAGATTCAACTCATTTTGTATATAAGAAACGTATTAAAACATTTGAAATAAGTCACATGGTCCAGTTTTGTATAGTAAAACATAAATATGTAAGCAAAGCATTTAATCAAACCCCTTTCGAGTCAACACAACAAAATAGGATTTAAACAAGAATTCCACTTTACACATTTGAAATCTCAGAAGGGTAAGTACCACCTACCTCTGTTTGGCTGCTCGAGTAGAACTACCTTAGGTCCTTGTATTGCACCTATCAAACGCATAGGTTCCCTAATTAGCTGCTATTTCCTATAAATGCACAAATATACAACTTCTAAAAAGAATAAGATTCATACTTAGACCATTAAATGGACCCTAATAGCATCTCCCTCAAGTTGGGCGATTTCTATTTTTGGAAAGTTCCCTAATTTGGGAAGTTTCTAATTGTAGAAAGTTTCTTAATTTGGAAAGTTTCTATTTTTAGAAGTTTCTTAATTTGGAAAGTTCTGCTTTTGTAAAGTTTCCTAATTTTAAAATAAAACAATTATTTATAATCATGCTTATTATTTTGACTGTTATCTTACTATACATATTTATAATTAATGATTATTTATTATTATATTATTATCGTCCTTGTCGCCGCTACTTTATTTTATTACCACTTATATATATATTTATCAGTTATTATTACCTTTTACTTTATTCCTAACTTTTGTGCACGTGTAGGTGTTATTATTATTTATATATGTGCATATATATTTATAAATATATCGATTTATTATTATAATTATTGTCTTAATTTATTACACTTGTATTTACATATTTATATTTTCGTTTACATCCTTTATTTGTTCCATCCATATTATTATTACTATTATTATTATTGTTATTTTAAGCGCTTTGTTCAACAATCTAGAGCTCCTCTTACATTGTATAACTTAATCTAATAAGGCCAGGTTAAAATGTTTTAGATTTCCATTTAAGTACTTTAGACTTAATTACTAAAGTAATAGCTTACATAACTAACCCCCAACTCTAGTAATTATATTAAATTGGGTCCTCGATTTTAATATTCCCAATACACTATAAAAATGGACTAATTATATTTAAAATCTGTTTACTGAGTTTTATATTGTAGTTTGGTCCAAGTTTAAATTGCTCCCTTTCTACTTACTTACTTTTATTTTTATTATTATTATTGTTACTATTATTTTATTTTAATTCTTGGTGGGGCCCATGGTTGGCCCTTTGGCCAACCATGTTTGACCATGGTCGCCAGAGAGCCTGGCGACCCAAGTTCTTCAATTGGTTGGCCCTTGGCCTTACCTGCATCCATTGTCGCCAGCAAGTGCTGGCGACATTGTCTAATATTTTTTTTTTTTTTTATTCTTAGCCTTGGGTTGGCCGAAAGGCCAACCCTTGTAATTCCTTTTCCCTGCGGCAGTGCTTGCCCAAAACAGAGCAGCCGCCGCTGCTCCTCTTCCTTTTTTTTTTTCGTTTTCTTTTCCTCAACAAATTTGGGTCATCTACTCACCAACGACCAAGATCTAACACCCTATTTCCACTAATCCAATATGAATCCTTCTAAATTCCGTATAAGAACATATATATCTACATATGTGTAACAACATCACAAATCCATAAATCTCCTAAAATAATCAATACATCTACTAAAACTTAAAAAGAGAAGATTACTTGTGTGAAGTCGGGACTTACAAGTTTAGGTGCCTAGTTGTCGGATCGATTGATGGTGACGCCTTCTTCTCCTTCTCTCCTCTCTGACGGCTCTTGCTCTAGGGCAGACGAAAGAAAGTAAGGCTAGGGTTATTTTTTTTTCTGTCTAGGATCTTAGTAAAATTCTAACCCTAGCAATACTTACTAATAGGTGGCTTGGGCCAGAGTTTTACTTTATTAGAGCCCATTAGCCCATCCTACAGTTACTCCATTTTCTTTTTCCTTTACCCAGCAAATTTTATCTTTTTAATTAATTGAGAAAATAAAATAGAATAATAACATCGGTGCCAAAAATCGTGGGTTTTACAGAACAGGTCACCAAATGGCAAATATTTGGCATTGTCCTCACAAGATGGCTATTGTACTCTCCTAGAATTTCAAAATCAGGAGCTGGGATCATCGGTCCCTGTTTCAGGTTTATTTTTGAACTTATACTGACAAATGCATCTCACAAAGTCTTCCAATCATGATTGTCATTTTCTGATCAGCCATGATTCATCTTGCAGAAGAGAGAAACATCGTGGATGACCGTAAAACTCTGCAGCAGGCGCAAGGGGCTTCTTTCACAAAAACTGAGCCTGACAACAGCCTTGATGGTGCAGAAAGTGAGAAGGCTGAAGCTCATAATGACGAAAAGCAAGCTTCCACAGCTACATTGGCCACTCCCACAGCAAATAAGCCAGCCAAAAGGCGTATAACTCCTATTGTCATTGACTGACTGTAATGTTCCTATCTGTATAGAATGACACCCTTCTTTTCCATTTTTCCTCTTCTGCGTTTTTGGGTGTGGAAGGGTTGTGGATGGGTGGTGAGTGGAAGAGCAAAAGTAGCAATAGTTAATGTAATAGGTATCTAGACAGCTTCTCATGAAGTTAGCCAAATTGCCACTGTTTAAAAAAGAAACA